GACTGGGGGCAAGCTTGTAGTCGAAGATGCCCTTCCATTGTTTCTACACTTTTCTCCTCCAAGGCATCTGCAAGCTGCTCTGTGATTTCTTCTGGCAAACTACATTCACTGAAGCAACCCATGAGTTTGACATAGGCTGAAGGAGGCACTGTGTCAATGGCCTGGAGCTTGGAGACAAGACACTTGACCATGGTCTCCATAAATTTACTCTCCTTCCTCATGGTACCAATGGTCTCCAGGTGCTTGACCTCCTGGACAATGTCTTCCACTGTCCACTGCACCATTGCTGGCAAGATTCTACAGCAAGATGGAGTGAAGAACACAGTGTGCACCTGTGAGCATAGCAGTGTATCTGTCAACTGTTTTTCCCGGAAGCATTGCGAAGGGTTCTTCCGGAAAATCCTTTGAACACTGACACTTCGACACTTACACTTACACATTGACACTTTCACCACACTTGCACGACAACATGAACGCTATGCACGACAACATGAACGCTATACGTAGCCGTGTGTAAGTGGAAGAGCGAAAGCAGTGAAGTGCAAAGTATGCAATGCAAGTGTCAAAGTATGCAAGTGGAAGTATGCAAGTGATGAGTATGCAAGCATGCAATGAGTATGCAAGCTTGCAATGAGTAGGCAAGTGTGCACGGAAGATGTCCTAATGAAAAAACATTTCCCCACTTTATAAATTCTCTCTTAAAGGCGGAGGGTGGGACGAACAGCGTCAACCGAAAGTGCAACCCTCTGCGGAGATCGTGCGTGTCCAGGGCGCGAAATGCAGGTGAGAGTGCGATTCGCCGGCTGCCCGCGCAACCCTCTGCGGAGATCGTGCGTGTCGAGTGCGCGAAATGCAGGCGAGAGCGCGATTCGTGAAATTACCGCGCAACCCTATGCGGAGATCGTGCGTGTCGAGTGCGCGAAACGCAGGCGAGAGCGCGATTTGTGCAATTACGGCGCAACCCTCTGCGGAGATCGTGCGCGTCGAGTGCGCGAAATGCAGGCGAGAGTGCGACGTGTGAAATTACCGCGCGACCCTGTGCGGAGATCGTGCGGGCCGAGTGCGCGAAATGCAGCGGAGCAAGCTGTGGAGGTGGAAGCTGAGAACTGGCGACTTTGTAGTACAACTGTAGTGCGCGGAGTAGCTGGGGAGCTGGAAGCTGAGAACTGGCGACGTGGTAACTGTAGTACGGGGAGTAGCTGGGGAGTGGGAAGATGAGAACTGGCGAGTGGGTACGCGGAGTGGCTGGGGAGCTGGAAGCTGAGAACTGGCGACGTGGTAGGACAACTGTAGTACGCGGAGTAGCTGGGGAGTGGGAAGATGAGAACTGGTGAGTGGGTAGTAGAACTTGAGTACGCGGAGTAGCTGGGGAGCTGGAAGCTGAGAACTGGCGAGTTTCTAGTACAACTAGAGTACGCGGAGCAATGTGTGGAGCTGGAAGCTGAGAACTGGCGACTTTGTAGTACAACTTTAGTACGCGGAGTAGCTGGGGAGCTGGAAGATGAGAAGTGGCGACTTGGTAGTACAACTTTAGTACGCAGAGTAGCTGGGGAGTGGGAAGATGAGAACTGGTGAGTGGGTAGTAGCTGAGAACTGGCGACTTTGTAGTACAACTTTAGTACGCGGAGTAGCTGGGGAGCTGGAAGATGAGAACTGGCGACTTGGTAGTACAACTTTAGTACGCAGAGTAGCTGGGGAGTGGGAAGATGAGAACTGGCGACTTGGTAGTACAACTTTAGTACGCAGAGTAGCTGGGGAGTGGGAAGATGAGAACTGGTGAGTGGGTAGTAGCGGCGAACTGGCGACTTTGTAGTACAACTAGAGCACGCACAGAAACCCACACACTACCTCAACTCACTCGACTTCACACTTCACACTGCACACTTAACAGATAACTCGCACTCTGACTTCCCACGTGATGAAAAATGCTTTCGGGCCACTCGTCGTCTAGTTGTTCACATGTCAAAGAAAGTGGTAAAGCCACAAAAAGGCTGCATAACACAATGAGGCTGTCTCACAAATGAGAAGTCTTCTCCCAAAGCATTCTCTTTAGAAACCATCATCGAAGAAGCCAAACCAGGCTGAAAAACAAAACACCAAAAAAACATACAAGCAGCTGCTCCCAGCATGCAGAGTACACTTTGTCATCTTTTCTTCCAAAATCTGTTAAGACCTCCAGGCTTGAACTGCTCAAAGCCTGGCCCTTGGGCAAAAGAACCTCTTGAGGGTGTCAAGGTTGTGCCCAGCAGCTGAGTTGCAATAGCTATGCCCCTCCTGCAGCATCCATGCTGTGAACAAGCGCTTCATCACTGGGTCATTGACAACTATCCTTGCATGGATCTGCAGGATTAGCACTTGACAATAAAAAAACATGTCAGAATAGGTTACATTATCAAAGGGAATACAAGTAGCAAAGAACTTGCTGAATTTATTCAAAGCTCTGCCAAAAGGTTTCTGCATCCTAACAATGGAATATGATGGGACTAAATCAACACATAAACTCTAACAAATGGTAACAAAAACATATCTTCAAAAGTGGTTCTTAATTTTGTCAAAACACCTCAAAGATCTCTGACCAAAAGCTAGCATTGGGCTTGTTGCTGTCATACACCAGGTGTTCAATGCCCTGCTCATCTCTCTGCCAAACAATGAAGGCCTCCCCACCAAAAAGCTCCATGCGCATTCGAACACCTAGGCTCACTGAAGCCCACACAGCAAAGCGCCTGCCGTCATCAATCCTATTCATGACAGATCCAATGCAGCAGTACTGCAATGCAGCACTGCACTATAACCATACTTGAGCAGCACTGCAATGCTGCAGATGATTCATGCATACATCAAAAAACAGAAACAAAGCCCAAAATGGCTGAAATGAAATCAAATAGACACATAAAAGATAAGTCAATTTGACTGAATCTAAGGTAAAGATTTATGAAATGTTTTGTTATTTTATATTTAGAAGGAAAACTAAAAAGCAAAATTGATATTCATTTCAATTCAGATTTCTAAATTGAACTGAAGACTATTTTCATTTCAATTTAGATTTCTAAATTGAAATGAAGAATGTTTTCATGAAGAATGTTTTCATTTCAATTTAGAAATCAATTTAGATTTCAAAAATTGAAATGAAGAATGTGTTCATTTCAATTTAGATTTCTAAATTGAAATGAATAATGTTTTCATTTTAATTTAGCAATTTTTAAACCATATGAATATATCTAAATTGAAATATATCTAGTTGATCTTTCAGTTGTGAAAGGCTGAGCTCACAGCCTCATAGTTTCACACAAGCCAAAACTTTCAATCATTGAGTTCCTTTTCTCTTTTGCACCATGCGATGAGATCATTGTGTAGGGTCTGGGTCAGACCAAGCAGGCCATCCATGTTGCTCGACCTTGTCCTTGATGGCTTTCATAATCTCCTGCATCTTTGTGTTTTTGCTGTATACAGAGAGCATCTGTTTGCATCTTTGGCGCTCAGTGTTGGTCCAGGCCAGCAGGCATAGTCCAATCTTGACTGCCCAGCCATTCTTCCATGGTCTGGCAGTATCTTCTTGACTTTCCTCCAGCAGTCCAACAAATTGTACATGTGTCCAAGTCTATTTGATTTGAACATCTATACATGAAATCTTTGCAAACCTTTATTATAAACAAAAACTTTTGGTGTAGCCACTCAAGATTGGCACCCTGCCTTCTTCTTCAACATCCCACCATCACCATAGAGCTGCTGCCACATTTGTTGAGGTGATGACTTCAGCTGTGGTCGACTTTGAGCAGATGGGTAGGCTTCAGCATTGTCTGCCATGACCTTCTCAGCCTCCAATGTGGCTGCACCCTTCACCACTTGAGCTTTGCTGTTTTGAGTCCTAGCTTTGGTGCCTGAAGAACTTTGGTCATCAACTGGGTGCTCTTGCACTGTAGGCTCACTGACACCACCCTGCTCAGTGGAAGTGTTTGGCAAAGGAGTCCTTGGGGGCTTGTGCCATGGAGCATTGACAAGGTCTGGCTTCTCAACACCTGGCTTCTGCTTTGGTGGTTCCTGAAGAGCTGGTTGTCCAACAACAGGCCCACCCATTGAGTCAGCAGGTTGTGCATCCTGCTGATGAAGCCCAGCCTGACCATGTTGTGCCTTCTCCAGCTCAATCATGTAGTCCAGGTCCCTAGATGAAGGCATGTGACTTCTGATATACCACACAGTGGACTCAGGTTGGGGGGCATGGTTGCTCACCATCTGGGCCACAGACGCACAAAAAAGGTTTTGACAGTTCTTCAATTTCCAAGTGGCACCCATTTGTTCTTTTGGTTGTTGTGCAAAATGCGCTTCCAAAAGTTTGGCCACAGCTGCCACTACATCTTCATGAGGTGCTGCTGGATCCTACAAGATTTGCACAAGAGTGTACAACTGCAGCCCATACTAACACTCCTGAGAAAAGCATTTGCCACACTACACTTGGTTGGGTTGGCTTTGTATCTCTATCAAAAAACTACCAAAAACAAGCAACCCTGCTCCTCATCGTTCCAGCTTTCCCACTCATCCCACTTGGCCCTCTTGGCCTCACGGGCCTCTGTGCAAGAAGCCTCCCTTTTCATCACTACAGAGGAAGCTGGTGCTTGAGCAACAGCAATTGGAAAGGTTGGCTGGAAAACACAACCAACAAAGCATTGCAAACATAATTGAAAACACAAGCCAAATAGTGGCTGGACACAATTGGAAAACAAACAGAAACTGCAGTAGCCAAAACATGGCTGAAACAGAAATCAAACAGAAACTGCATTAGCCAAAACATGGCTGAAAAATCAAAGTGATATGAAAAAAACAAACTTGAAGCCAACACTGGCTGAACAAAACAATTTAGCCAAGCTCTGGCTGAAATAAACAACAGTGTAATGAATAATGCAAGCCAAACAAATGGCTGCAAACATGCTACAATACAAACAATCAAAGCCCTTGATGCACTTGTTTTGGCGCACAGATGCAAAAGTTGGCTTGGTCTGCTGGCATCAAGTGGTCTTCCTTGCCTTTTTGGCAGGAGGTGCTGCGCAAGCCTCTTTCCCTTTCAAGAGGGCAGCCTGCTTCTCGATCTGCTTGGAGTTCTCCAAGACTGGTATATGTAGATCCTGGTAGGTCTTCCAGCTGACATTGAGATTTGCTTCTTCATTCTCTTCACTGGCCTTGATATAGAAGTATGCACACATTACCCCTGACTCTTCCTTCTTGGTGGGGTTGAAAGCCTTGAAGCCTTGCACTTGGTAGGCTACTTCTTTGAACTTGACAACCACTGCACCCTTGGACAAAAGCTCATCTACCTTGTGTTGTTCTTTGGTAAATCTGCAGCTCCTTCATCTTCAGTTTCTTCAAAGAAACCAAGCCATTGGGAAAACTTGTGAAGGCCACCATATCCAGACTTGCCTTGTTGTTCTGTTTGTAAGCCTCTGCCAACAAATGGCTTGCGCACTGCTTGGCCCACTCATCCAATAATAGTGGTGAAGCTTCAGGAAGTCGTGCTTTTGCACTCTCAGTGGGGCATAGCTGGCAACATTCTCTTTTTCTTTTCCAACCCTTCAGCTCTTCAATGCTGGCAACAACCTTGATTTCACCACAAAACAAAGGAACACGCTTGAAGACACCAGAGCCATCCTTTATGCTCTCCAAGGTGAAAACCTGGTCCTTGTAATCCTTGTGCAAGTAATTCTTGCCCACAATGATGTGGTCATTCTGCAACATGGCTACTTCATTTGGGTCTGCTTGCACCAAGTCCTTCACTTTGAGAGCTTCACCATCTTTGGCATCTACAGCACTTGAGGTTGGAGCACCTGCACTGTTTTCAAGTTCCATGGAAAGCTCCTCCACTATTTCTTGGAAGGATTCAACGCAAAATCCATCTCTTGCATGCTCCTCTTTCTGCAGGGCATACAGCACAACACGCACACAGAACCTGCCAAAACACATTTCACCAAGCACCAGGTCTGCTGCCTTCTGGCATGATTGCCAGCCCTCGGCCAGCAAGTCCTCCATGGTCTTGGTGGAGCTCTTGCCCTTCAGCTTGTCGAAGTCAGACTTGAACACCAACTTAGAGATCCCATCCTGGTGTCTCTTTGAACTCAAAATTGTTGCTAGGAGTGCAACGCGAAGAAAGTTCAGCTGGCGCCCAGGCAACTTGAAGTTGTAGTATGCAAGCAAGTTCATGTTCTCTTCCCTCACTAAAAGAGAATGACCAGAAGCGTTACCTTGGCCAAGAGCTTCAGGACCCTACATTCAAGGGAAACCTCCCAGGTACATCAAAGATTGATTCAACAAGCAAACCAAGTTACAGAACTTGTCCAACCAGAGCAACATGGGGAAGGTTTCCCCTCCAGAGTAGAGTCTCATGAAGTAGGCGCAATCCTGTATGTATGCTTTGCATGAAGGGCTGCTCTGGCAAACAGCTTGAACTGCATCTGCCATGTTCATCCCACTTCTGTGCAAAGCAGCCAACTCCATCATCACTTCCAACTCATTGCTGAGGACTGTGTTGCTGTTGTGAGCATTCATGCCCATGGAGCAAAAGGCTGGCAAATCAGGAAACATATCAGCTGCCTCTGCCTTCAAGATTGTCCACTGCCAGCCAGACTCCACCAGATTCTTCATGTCTGGTGTCATGTGCAGCTCTGTTCCATCTGCCTTCAGGCACCCATGGTCAAGAGCTCTGCAAAACTGGTTGAAATGAGAACTAGCATTCTGTTGCTCTGGGCAACCATCTGCTCATTGGCCTCCAACTGCTTCCTCCTGTCTGCACTGCCCACTGCAAGCTCTATCCCAAAGAATTGGGTGGCAAAAGGTCTTTCTTCAGCCCACTCTTCAACACCTGCTCTCCTTTCATATGGCAATTGTGCGCATTGCACATTGAAGTCCCTCTGTTGTCTGGATGGCACAGCATCTCTCTTGGAGAGACTACTGCCTTGTATACTAAGCCAAATTTCTCCAAGGACTGCAGGATCTTCTCCAGTTTCACATGCGCCCCACAAGTGTTCGCAGGGTCCAGCAAATCCTTGATTTCCTTCTGGACAGCTTCAGGCACAGCCATGGCACAAATCACTCAACCCAAGGTGTTGGCTGGTTTGTTGGGACTTGCACCTCACCAATGTTGCCCAGGTTCTGCTGCTTTTGGGTTTTACATGTACATTGCCATGCCTTGGAGCTGGTTACAGCCTGGCACCACTCTTACAAACCACAGGCTCTGAAGCCATCTGTAGCAGCGCATGTAATGCAAAAGATTGATTAACACCAAGGCTACATAGTTGAAGCCTTTGAAAACATCTGTGTAAACCAGCCAGCATGGCTGAACAAAACAAACAGAGCCAACATGGCTAAAGGAAGCCAACATGGCTGAAAACAAAAAGAGATACTTACAACGCAAAAGCTGCAGCAAAGGGCCTGTTTTGCTCAAGCACTCTCAACATGAGTCATGTGTTCAAACACTTGAAGATTCTTTCTATGAAGCTTCATCAGATTTCTCTGAGGCTTCTTGTTCAGACTGATGGTTCTTCTTGAACCTTCCTGTCCTCTTGTATTCCCTTTTGGAATTCAACTGCTCACAGTCTGGCTGCAGGAAGGTGAGGACTGCTTCCAGCTGCTTGGCCTCTAAGCAAACCATGAGGTCTGCAGCGACACCCTCTTTGGAGGGCACAGTACATTCACATTGTGCCACACACACACATCGATGTCCACAATGCTCTCAGCCTTTTTCTTCTTTGACCCTTGCTCTCTTGACTGGGCCATGCTGGCTGCCACCTCAGCATCGCTTTTCTCCTTCAAAGCTTTCAAGCACTGACCATTGCTGAGGCTTGAATTCTTTTCACACTTCCCTCACACCAGCTTCACAATTGGTGGAGAAGTGGGTCGAAGTTTGAGGTACTCAGCACCATTCACATCCTTGCAGACAACAGGATGCAATATGTCATGAAACAAGTTTGGTGGTTGGGAAGCTGGCCTGGTTGTTTAAACATAAAAACCAAAAAAGCAAGTATGCACCCTGCAAGTCCTTTGCAACCAGCTCATCTGGTATGTGGACCTTCTGGGCCTTAAAGCCAATCTCCAACCGTCTGGTGATCTCGACATTGCATTCTGCCATCTCTGAAAAATCAAGCTTGAGCAAACACCTCCTCACCCAATGTGGGTTTTCATTTCAACATGCCTAGGGCTGCGCCTAAAAGGTCCACCAGTGCTGATTCTCCAACAAATGCAACACCCCTCACAAATGTACACATGTCCAATGAGAACCTCCTGCGCCCAAAGCTGAAGACATGCTGTGCCCAAACACATGCTGCCAAGCTGTGTGTTTTGTTCCAACCACAAACCAATTCTTAAACACCAAAGGCCAGCTTTTCACAGCTGAACAATGAAAGTCTTGAACATGCAAAACAACATTCTGCACAATTACAAATAAGAAAAACATATTTTTGGCAATATGTAAAAATTAACAATTTGTGCTAACTTTACATAATTTTGAACATAGTTAACATAATTACATAACAATTAGTGAAAATTAGTAAAATGCATAACCTGTCTTAACAATTATAACATGTGAAGACATAGTTACACATAGGTTAGAGGCATGTTATGATATGGTTAACAATTGTGTGTCAATTTTGATAACTAGTTAGTAAAAGCCAGCCCATCTAAGTGTGGGCAGACCGTGTGGCGAATTACGTCCGTGATGTCGCAGTGCCATGCGGATTTGCGCGACCTCAGTGGAAGTGCGTTTGCGTGGCGCAGTGCCACTGGGGAGCGCGAAACACGCTGGTGTAAACGCGGCGTATTGCTGGTGTGCTATATGTCAGTTTGATTCGAGCCTCTTCAGCGTTGTGCTTGCACAGCGAGAAATGCATCAAGGTTGGCTCCCCTGACCCACAACGTTGCGCTGCCGTTGCATCTACGCACCTACGTTTACACACCCTCACCTCTGTACATTTACATCTTCACACGCTCACATCCGCAGATCTACCTCTCTACCTCCACACACCCACACATCTGCACATCTATATCGCACCTGTACATCCACACTTCTTCACATCTTTCTCTCTTTCTACATATCTTTTCGTTTAATATTAATATTTCAATTTTAGTTTCTTCGCAACTTCTTTCTCAATAACAGCTTGTATGCCGAAGTCATGGCTCTTGGACAACTCGATTTTAACTATTTCCTTACTCGGAATTGCTTGACAATCACCTTTCTCCGCTCTCGGGCCAACCGTCGTCTAGCTTGACCAAGTTCTTCCTTCTTTGTCTTGGACCTACAGGGATGAAGACTGGGGGGGATCTGTGGCAGCTGCCTCTACAAGGAGAGGGGGCACCAACTCTGCTCATAGTACTTCTTGGAATGTCTTGACGAAATTCAGAGCTCAGAACTTGGTGCCTGAGTGGCCCATCCAGAGGTGAAAATCATTTGTTGCAGATCAGCGACCTGGGTTTCAGGGCGCCAGTTGTTTAGCAGCAAATGAAAACAAAGGATTCAGGAGAGAGTTTTTCACCTCAGTTGACACACCAGGAATCCTTTGAAGGATTTGAGGTGGGGTCTTGCCCAATCCTTGATATTAAGATTTTGATACCAATCTTTTGGAAATCATGACAAGGATTACTGGAACCTTCCTTAAGTTTTTTCAAGCCTATGAACAAATTCTTCAACCCCATCAAGGATTTTCGCATCCTGTGAAGGATTCACTTCAATTTTTCAAATGAAAACAACAACATCTAGACATCTTAAAAAGACACCTTAAATTTTTTAAATTAACGAGTCTAGACCCCTTAAACTTTTTAATGTCAGACTCCTTCAAAAAAAGAAAAAGGGTGCCACTGAATAAGGGTTCTAGGAGGTTCAGGGAAGGTGCCAATCCAACGGCCATCCGAGGGTAAAATTTTGAGGAGGAAGGGGCCATTCCAACGGTGCGTGCCTTTTGTGAGCCACCCGAGCGTAAAACTTAGTAGAGGAAGGTGCCATTCCACCGGCGCATACCTGGCACAGCCACCCGAAGGTAAAATTTACAGGAGGAAGGTGTCAACGCAGCAACGTGCCTGTGTGCGCAAGTGGGTCGCTGCGTGTGCAAGTGAGTCACGCATGCGCAAGTGAGGTAACTTTTGTGTGCGCAAGTGAGACAATTCTCACGGCGGATGCTAAGGACTGCCAGGCTTTTTGGCCATCTCACAAAAGACTTGGATGCTCTGATCAGAGACGTTTGCAAAGTGCTGCCATTGTCAAACTGAAGGAAGGACAGGGAACACTCCAACAAAGCACATCTTCTTTGAGCCGATGTTGGAACCTAGATGTTAAGATCAGCGCCTCCTCCGAGGTTCACATAACGCTGCTCACCAGGAAATCTGCTTTTCCAACTATACCAACACAAAAAAAATGGTAATTCAGACAATAAAGCGAAAACACGTCCAAAATTGATTCCGGGACCACCTGAAAATGGACCTTTGGAAGACTATTTTCCTCCGCGGCCCAGTGGTTTTCAGGTTCCACGATAATCTTCCCGTTCAAGCCGGTGGGCCGAAGATTGAAAATTTCAAAGCAGGTATGTGACTTGCGTTATGAACAAGGGCGATGACTTGGGTGATGGAAGGGTTGGTGATTGGTGATGATACTTGGTGTGGCGTTTGTTTTAATGTTGTGGCGTGTCGCATGTTGACTTGTAAAAGTGATTTATTTATGATTTGGTGAAATGTAACGGGTGTTGAATGACTGACTAGTGATTATATAGTGCGAAACGTATTTGTGGCTACCCGCTTCAAAGCTCTACTCCTGGCGTGTTTGCTCCTTTTAGAAATGATCACTGTTTGCTTGGTGTTGCATTTTGTATGGCAACTTGTTGCTCGAAATCTCTACCTTTCTTTAGGCATGTCTACTTTCAGTAGGTTTCTCTGGAAAACTCTACTTGTGGTTTGTGGTTACTTTTGCTCAATATCGCTCCATTTGGTCACTGTTCAATAGAACGTTTTACTGTTTGTTCGCTACTTTTCTCTTGAAATCTCGACATACTTTTAGAATCTTTTGGATAATGGTAATTCTTCTTTATATAAATAGACTTGAGACGCCTCTATGCACTTTTGTTTTTTTGTTTTCATTCTTGACTTCTGACACCCCGTGGCACTGCACACAGTGCCAGTGTATTTTGCATCCTGAGGTTCACGCAACCGCCGCTCTTCCCTTTTACCATTTTTAGCCCTTTGACTCACAGGTGGTCGGAACTCGGAATTGTCTATATACTAAAAACTTCCTTGGAATGGCAGCCATTGTCTCATTCCAGATCTTCATCATCATCATCATATCCTCCTCCTCATCATCATCCTCCTCATCCTCGTCGTGGTCGTGGTCGTCGTTGTGGTCGTCGTGGTGGTGGTGGTGGTGGTCGTCGTCGTTGTCATCAGCATCATCATCATCATCATCATCATCATCACTATCACCACCATCATCATCATCGCCATCACCATCATCATCTCATCATCATCTCATCGCCATCCATAGACCAATGTCCTTGCCAGGCTTGACCTTGTGACAAAACTATTGCATGTTGCCCCATGTTGCACCTACTTCCGCAGCCACGATCGTATCAGGCAAAACTGCCATGGCGCGGGCAAATGCACTTCTCCTCAGTAGCACCGCGCTCGGAATAGTGTGGGCTTGCTCGCAAACATTTGTCGTGCCCACACACCAGAAAAACCATGCCGTGCCAGACTCCGTGAGAGGCAGTCGGCCTCTCATGACTT